TATTATTGTAATTATATTATTCTTTTTACAGGCTAAATTAGGGGTAAAGATTAGTGGTGTGCGCTATCCCACAGCAACCAATCATCAAAGAAAATATGTCATGAGAGCATTATATAGGCTGCCTTTGCTAAGGTTGTCTACTGCAGTTTTCTTTTTGCCTTGCTGCCGTGCTGAATGGATGGCTTCTGGACTTTCTGAGTCGATGATGTGGAGATGCATGATGTCCTGACTTTGCTCTGAGCTTATTATTATTATTATTGTACAGTATTTATATAGTGCCAAAAGGTTTGCTCAGCGCTGTACATTATAGTGGGGGACAGAACATGAGACAATACAGTAACAAAACAATACACGCGAGGGCCCTGCTCTTTCGAGCTTACAATCTAGGAGATTCATTGAAGTTCTTGTAAGTCAGTGGCTCTGGTTTTGGGTGAAGCCACCTTCATCATGACAGGCAAGGGTTAACAATGGCAGACCCAATATTTTACTCATGAAAAGTGTCCCTTAAATCCTAACTCCAGATTTACTTTTACTTTAAATATTTGGTTTGGACCAAGCTGTCCTAAACAAATTACTTCTCCATCAAGATCAATAACACAATCATCAGTCCCTCCCCTCATGCCAGGGCACTAGGTGTAATCCTAGACTCCCATCTGTCCTTTCAGCCCCAATCACTGTCCAAATCTTGTAGACCTCACCTTCACAACATCTTCAAGATACGCCCGTTCTTAACCTCGGAATCCACTAAACAACTTATTCACTCCCTTGTTATCTCTCGGCTTGACTATTGTAACTCCCTCCTCATTGGCCTACCTAATCACAGGCTATCCCCTCTTCAGTCTATTTTAAATGGCCTCCCATTGCCCAACGAATAAAGTTCAAAACATTAACAATAACGTATAAAGCCATTTATAACTCTGCCCCAAAGTACATCACCAATCTTGTCTCCAAATATCACCCAAACTGTATTCTTCTTTCCTCGCATGACCTCCTACTCTCTAGCTCCCTTGTCCCCTCCTCCCATGCTCATCTCCAGGACTTCTCCAGAGCCTCCCCCATCCTCTGGAACTCTCTACCCCAATTTATCAGACTGTCACCGACTCTACTCACTTTTAGGCGATCCCTGAAAACCTATCTCTTCAAGGAAGCCTATCCTGCCTTCAGCTAATAATGGAATCTTCTATTCCTCCTACCAGTCCATCCCCCACAGTTACTACCTTTTGTACCACTAGCCCCTCCCTCATAGATTGTAAGCTCCAAGGAGCAGGGCTCTCCTAACCCTCTTGTATTGAACTGTATTGTTGCTGTATTGTCTCCCGTTATATTGTAAAGTGCTGAGTAAACTGTTGGCGCTATATAAATCCTGTATAATAATAATAATAATAATAACAACTTTCCTTATTATTAGATGTGCCTGCTATCAGCACTGTATGTAGCATCCGCCACATACAGTAAGCAGTGCTGTGTTCTAGAAGCAGTATGGGGACGTCTGGTCTGCTGGTGGTAAAAAATCAAGTCAAGCTGAGTGCTACTTAGCCATTCTCAGGAAGCTTTGTAGTTTATCAATGAATAAAAGGCTTCCTCTGATTGGCTGAAGAGGAGATTGTGACATCATCCATCCGTTTCTCCACCTCAGCCAATCGGAGGATTGATAAAAACATTTACTAGGCTTGCTGTGAATGGCTGAGCAGTGCTCAGCCCTTCTTGGTTTTGGCAGCAGATTGGAAGTCCCCGTACTACTGCCAAATAGAACGCTGTATACTGTATGTAGCTGATGCTACTTACAGCTTATATATTGCTGACAGCGGGCACATCTATTAGTAAAGGAAGTTGTTTGTTTAGGCCAGCTTGGCCCAAACAAACTATTCAAAGTAAATGTAAACCTTGAGTTAGGCTTTAATTAGGTGTACATTATACATTTTTCTAGTATTTGCTCAGTTTTTGTAGTGGTTGAATCATGCTTTTTTTTTACAGGTGGTTACTGTACTGGTGAACTGCCAGGAAAAGTCATACAAGATGCTGTCCTAGAGCTGTGTGCAGAGGTACAAATAAATAATATCATTAAGAAGTACAGTTATTCAAGTATATTGTGCAAAGAATAGCATTGACCAGTAAAATTCAGTAACATATAGTAGCCAAATTTTGTTTTGAATCCGAACAGGAAAGGTGGTTTGTATGAGTTACTGCACTTTGCATGTTATCATATACTGTATCTTGCAAGCAATGTATTATGAAGAATTATCTCCTCTGTAGTTTGCATTGTTCCTCATAACAGCTTTCATTCCCTTCCCATGAAATTGTCCCCTGTACATTTTCTTTGTTTACTACTTTAAATAGTATGGTCAGTCATATCAAAAAAAAAAATGTACCATACAGTACCTTCAATATGGGTTCATCTGTGTCCTCTGCAGAGTCTTTTCTATCGATTGTTGTCCTGCAATGGCGGCACTATTTTCTTCATCATTTCTTAAATAAATATAGGGGCCAACATAATCTCCCTAGTTCTAAATTCTTTATCTCTTCTGGCGTTGTTTCTCTTTCCAGCTTTTACTAAAAAGCTGATATTACCAGCAAAGTTTAAAGTGCTTGTAAACCCTTACGTATACCCAGTGAAGTGACTGGCCTCAGGCGATACACAAAGATGAAACAAATCCTCCTGCATAAGTTTTACCTGTTTATCTGCAGTCTTCTCTTCTCTACATCCTTTCAAAGTCCATACCTCACAAAGCTTGTCTGAGCTTTCAGAAAACTACAGGCGGGGAGCTGAATTTAAACACTGCAGAGCTCAGTGAGGAGAGCTCTAAGAGCTGATTGGAGGGAAGAGACACGCCCCCTGCTCACAGAAACAGAGCTGAGGCTGTCAGTCACAGGCCCCTGTCACCATTTTTCTCAAGGTGTCAGGAAAACTTGTAAGAAGTGTTTCATGCTGATAGCAGAGGAACGAAGCAGCAAACAAAAATGACACTTAGTGCTCTTAATTGAGACATGCACACACTATAGAGGGATATGATTTGTTCATATTTCAAGTCTGAGGTTTACAACCACCTTAAATTTTTGCGCCCCAAAGAAAATCATTATACTGCGCCTGCAGCAAAGAAACACCTGCTCTGGATTGAGGGACAATGGGTGTGGGAGAGCTCAATTTCAGGCCTAAATCTGGAGCTGTGTAGAGAGTGTTAACTATGAAATGTACGTTTAGCACCCACTCTTTGAAAAATGATTAGATTATCAACTTAATGTAAATGAAGGGTTCACTTTAAGGTTCAAATACCCCTAAAGTAACAGGGAACCAACCACCAAGAACAAGCAGGTCAAAGTCGCACATATTTCCATTATGCTGGAAATGACTGCTATTAGCCATTTTTGGTTTTCTTTACACATTCTTAAATAAAAATAAGGTTTCAACAAACCACCTTTAGGAGGCTTTTACACAGGTCTGACATCCCATATAACAATAGAGTAGTGTTGGCATTTCACATCCATGGGCAGCTTTACAAGATTTCCAGTCACCATAAGAAGTGGTATTCCCCCATCCATGCTAATCATCATAAAAGATGCTGTCAGTGTTTGGCTGATAATTTTCCACCTGGCCTGGTCGATTTTTATATCATATTTTGCTGAACTGGGTGCAGCTCGCAGGGCCAGCCATGCCTCAAATTTCATTCAATTTAGCAGGAATCGTCAGAAATATTTAGCAGAATTTCACCCAAAAGGTTAGGTTCTGCTCTTTCTCCTCCTCCCTCCCCCTCTTTAACTTTTGGCACATATTTTTTTGGGCGGGGGGGCAGCAGGTGTCTGGTTTTGAGGGACCATTCACTAACCGCAACACGGCTCATGCATGTGCAGTGGGCAGCTGGATCTGAAGCCACAAATAGTGCAGCCGGCTGGTCACAGTTAAGTCACCAGGGAGTGAAGGAACTGGCTCAGGTGAGGATGGCGCTGGATCCTCGGACAGGTGAGTGTTAACAGTCAAAAGCTCCAGTTGTAGCTGCTGACTTTTAATTTTGACAGAATTGACTGAAGAGCCACGTTAAGTCTAGCACTGCTAGAAAAGTACAGTTCTATTAGCTGATAAAAGCCAGATATGATAGTGTAGCAATGGGAAAATAATATATGTCATCATGATTGCGCCTGTCACTAGTATTAAAACTGAACTCTGGAAAACTGAAAACCCCTCTCTTGCAGTGGGGCTGCTCCTGCACTGCAAGATTTAACTGCTCATATAATTTGAAGAAAAAAAAAATCACCTTTACTTACCTCATCCTCTACTCCCCAGCAGTGAACTGTCCCTCAGTGTCCCCATGTCCAATGCAGGGCTATAGTCTCTGCATACGATTTGATGATGTCAGAGGAACCTAGACCCTTTGCACCGGGGAATGTAGGAGGGAAGAGGCTGCCAGGAACAGTCTAGCAGCATGGACCGGAGTCCATACCCCTGTGAAATGGGTCATGTGATGCACCCAGGGAATGACAAGTGATCCATACAGCAAATCTGTCAAAATCAAAACCAGCCTGAGAGATACAGCGGCTGTATTGATCTTCCCACAAATGCTAGTGTGTACATCTATGCAGGGTTTACTGCGTCCAGTGTGGCGTGTCCATCCCTGTACAGATGAAAACACTGGCATGTGTGGGAAGATCCCTACATCTGCCTGGGTTCTCGGGCTGCTGTTGATTGATTTTGACAGGCTGACTTCACAGGGCTTGCTGGGACACCTGTCATTTCCCAGGTGCATGAACACAGCTCTCTGCACTGAGCACAGGTCTTTGCACCCATGTGAATAAAGCATAACAGGTAATAAATCCAAGTTGCAGGGGGGGTTAAAAAAGCGAAAACTGCTGTGTTAGTGCCAGGGGCGAACTGACCATTTGGAAACTCGGGCACTGCCAGAGGGCCCGGGGTAAGTAGGGGGCCCCATGAGATGCCCCTGGTACCTTTTTCATAGGCTCTTTTGAGTTTGGGCAAGAACACAGGGGCCCCATGATCCCCTATTGCCCAGGGGCCCCATGAGTTGTCAGTCCGCCCCTGGTTAGTGCTATTAAAAAACTACATCATACAAGTCCTTTTATCCACAGTTCAGCTGTATCTACCACATGACATGAGTCCATTTTTAAATTGGCAGATTCATTCTGAATTACCATCTATCCCAGTGTGCAGTTCATCCACATATACCATTTTGTTGGCCACTTGCATGTCCAATTTGAACAGAGAAACCATTTACTGAATGATAGAGATTCAGATGTTGCATTAAAAGCAGCATGACATCCCATGCATCCACACTGATCAGACAGTCTTCTTGTATCATTATAATGCTACCAGAGGTTTTACTGCTAACAAGTGGTGAGGATAGTTTTCTCCCATAACAAGGGATAACATATGGAAAATCTGTGTTTAAAAGACAGATGATTGGCACTGAGACAATAAAACAGAATTCTGTGATCCCCTAATAGAACTCTGCAAGTGTGAGCTCTCACATTACAATTTGTGTTCCATTTGTAGCAACCGTTTACTCCTGCTATGTTATGTCTTTGTTACTACGGAAAGTAATATTTCCTGCCAACTTTTTTGTCCTTCTCACACAGTTGAAAGATGATGCAGTGTCTCTAGTGGATGCCATCGCACCTCCAGACTTCATTTTAAACGCACCGATTGCCAGAGCTGACGGAGAGGTATATTTATTACACAGCATTTGGTAAAATATGTGCTGCTTTTCTACAAAGGTGAAAAATAGTTGTCACTATGGGGTATATTCACAAGGTCGGGATTGACAGCTTTCAAGGGGGACGTCAGAATCTCACCTGCATCCGACTGTGCTCAGTTAAGACCTTGGAGGGTCTACTGAACCCAGTGAGCAGCAATTCCACTGTGTACACATGTTTGGCTTTTTGAGTATTTCAGTAGGATGATGTCCTATTAAGATCCTGAGCACAACCAAAGTCACAAGCATAGCCCAAGAAGGAGCATAGGTGTTCTCATACAGCGGAACTTAACCACTTCAAGTCTGGACACTTTCACCCCCGTCCTGTCCAGGCCAATTTTTATCTTTCAGCGCTATCACACTTTGAATGACAATTGCGCCGTCATGCAACACTGTACCCCTATGAACTTTTTAGCATTTTTTTGAGACAGATAAAGCTTTATTTTGGTGGTTTTTGTTCACCACTGGGATTTTTATTTATTTTACTATATAAATGAAAAAGTCCAAAAATTTTGAAAAGTGTTTTTCTTATAGAATTTTGCAAATAAATAATCTTTCTTCATAAATCTTGGCCAAAATTTATTCAGTTATCTTTTTATTAAAAAAAATAACCCAAATTAGTTTATAACCAAAAATTATAATTTTTAAACAATTTTTTTACATTTTTATTTTATTTTTTTTATATTATTATTTATGGGGGTTTTTTTTCATACTGTCACCCTAGCAGTACAGTGTCACCATAGTGACACTGTACTACTTGTGTGGGGTGATGAAGATTTTTTTTTTTTTCTTACACTGACTGCTTTTATACCCATATAGGCTGTAAAATAAATCATTTCTCCTTCTCTCTGGCTGCATTCTTGCAGCCATTGAGAAATACTGTGTGAGCTGTGATTGTTCACAGCTTGTCACATGGTACAAGGCTGTTGTGAATAGCCTTGTACCATGTGACCTCTGTGATCATTCACAGATTTCACACGTAGTAAGCAATGATGTCAGAAGTGACATCTTGCTTACTACTCTGGCCAATCAGTGATCACATGATCGGGACCTTACACAGAGGTCCCGTACAGCGATCGGTGTTACACTGTGTCCTCCGGACACAGCGGGCACCGGATCGCGGTGCTACGCGCTCCCAGGGAGCATGCACAAGCAGGGGGCGGGGAGGACATTTATAAATGGCCACCCGCCCCTGCACTGCCACCGTCCGACCGTTTATATGCAATGGCTGGACAGGAAGTGGTTAGTTGCATCTGAGTACCCCAAACCAAAATTTCATTCATTCTTTCATATTCAAAGCAAAGTTGCCCATCCATCCATGTCTCCATACTTTATTTTGCTGAGAAATCACATTGAAAAACACCTCCCTAGCAGTTTTGGTAAGTACCATCTTAAGTAAGATCAGATGATTCATGGAACTTTTACTTCCTGGAATCCATCTGTGCTTAGCTCAGGCATGCCGACAGGAGGGGTGTGCTTAGCTAAGAAAACCCCTCTTCCCCTCCTGAAGACTTCTGCGATGACAACATTTGCTTAGGCCTCAAAACCAGGAATTAGCTGAAGAAATTAAAAAAAAAAGTTTAAAACAAGTAAATATGATATACTTTTTTATCTTTTTACCAATGCTAGCAGCATAAGCATTCAAAATAATCAGTGTTGACTGAGAGGGTGAAGTTCAGCTTTAAGCTGATCATCCTAGCTGCTGGTGGGAAGAGCTGTTTTAGACAAATCATACCAATAAATCAGATTCAGATGTACACTAGAAAATCAAAGTTGGGCAATGAAAGCTTGAATCTGTATCCTAAAGAGGATCTTCATTCCTGTACAAATACTGTAACTGCTGACTTTTATTAAAAGAACACTTACCTGTCCAGGGATCCAGCGCTGTCCTCACCCAGACTGGTACTTTACTGGTCTTTGGGTCTCTGGCACTGGCATGTTTGGGAAGGAAAGTCGGTTGTGACTCCTTCCAGCTTCACAACTGGCTTTCCACTTCGCATGCTGAGCTTTGGGAATAGTCCCACAGCCTTATGGGACCCGTGATATATCCGAGAAAGCTGTGAGCAAAGGGCGAGAGCCGAACTGCTGCTTGGATCACCTAGGCAATTGGAGTGGAAGTGGGAGCAAGTAGCTGTCAAAGCCAGTTACCCGCTCCCCCCCAAAAAATAAATGTGTCCAGGTGTCCAATAGTGGTGTAGGAGGGGGAAGTTTGGGCCCGTTCACACGAAAACATGGGGCAGGAAAGGCATATTCCGTGTACGTTTCCTGCAGCACAAGTGAATGCGTTGCCCTTGCGAGACGTGCGCAGGTGCCAAATGATTGTTAATACCACACAAGATGCATCTTGCAACCGCAGCGCATTTGTGGCCACCAAATCACGTTACCACAGTACCATGGGGTTCAATGTGGTGTAGCCTGAAAAAGTGGTGCTTGCACTTCTTTTTCTGCATTCTAGTTGTTTTCTTTCTCAGCGTTCCAGTTGTTTTACAGCCCATTAAAAATGTTTGAATGCACGTGTTTCTTTCAGCGTGACCAACCACTATTGGTTTTTATGCACTTTGTGTTTGCATTGTTTACAATCAGGCCAATATTTTTATCATGTTTGTAAAGAAACGGACTTTGTGGGGATTCATTCCTGAGTGATAACGAGCACAAGCAAAATTCCAGGGCAATACACTGTTGACAAATACAAAATGTATCTATTTATATCACATTGACAATGTTACCTAATTATATGAGCATCTTGACACCTTGAATGGTCATTTTTAAAATAAACGTGAACTTCAGCTGGCCCATGCATATTGAGCAATGTCTCCATAAACTGCCGGACAGCCAGTAAAATGTATCACTTGAGCTGTAGCTTTGCTAGTATGACATCTGTTTACAGTCTAACTCTGGTGATGTTTTGCAGCTGTACAAGAACCTCTGGTCCGCCGTTCTGCAGGGAGAGAAAGTACTGGAGCGGCCATCTTGGTGGACAGATTTCTGCGCTGATAAACCTGTAATTGGCAAACTGAGATCTCAACTGTGAACTGATGTGTGTATGTGCCAATGAACACTGCATTTAATAGGAGTACAATGTGTCAAAATGATGAATAACTAAAATAGTCTGTCATGTACAATCTTTGGGCTTTATTAAACAAAACAAGACGTCAAAAGTGACATGCTTTATTTCACACCAACCAATCAGAATACACCTAACTTAAATCAGACCAGTGGAAGATGGATTCTGATTGGTTGTTCTGCATTCTGCTCTTTAAGGCTAGGTTCACATCTACATGGCCTTGCGGGCTACGGTTTGCGCGGGCACAACAGCCCATTCATTTGAATGGGGCTGCCATGCCCGTATCACATGCAGAAAAGAAGTCCCTTTGCTACTTTGGAAATTACAGCCTGCATAGGAACCATGGTTCCCAGTGCGGGTGCGATTTAGAGTGTGGCCAGTGTGCCATTAAGATGAATTGCACCCACCCCGGGTCACACATTTCACTCTGGGTGGTTGCAGCTTTGGTAATTTGTGTGGATCCCACTGAGGCACCACCCACACAGATGTGAGCCTAGCCTAAAGTGGAACTAAACCATCCTATCGTTTTCAGCCATGGAAGCTGCCATCTTCTCCTCTGTTTGGTCTTCAACTGCCATGGTGCTGCACATGTGATCAGTTATGGCACCAGCCATTTGATGGTTTGATAGTTTGGTTGAGAGCAAGAGCAAATGTTAAATCGATGGGTTTAGTTACATGTTAAGCTTTGATTTTTGCTTGCATATGCCATCTGTGCACTGTAAAGTTTTAACTCCTTGTTTTCTTATCTTGACTATTGTAGCGCCCTCTTCATTGACCTACCACTACAAAGACTATCCCCAATAATGATTGCTGCTGTCAGGTTCATCCACATTACCATCTGCTCAGTTACTGCCACCTCTCTGCCAATTCCCCCACTGGCTTCTGCTTGCCCAGCAAATAGAAAACAACATACAAACCCATCCACAATTCTGCCCCCACCAACCTGGTTTCAATATATCACCAAAACTGTCCTCTTTGCTCCTCCCAAGAACTCCTGTTCTCTAGCTCCCTCATTGCCTCATCCCAAGATTGGTTCCAGGACTTCTCTAGAGCCTATAACAATCTTCTGGAACTCCTTACCCGCAATCTGTCCAGCTATCTCCTACTTACTTTAGGAGATTCTTGAAAAATCAACCCTTCAGGGTAGCCATCCCACCCCTACCTAACAACTTTCTCCATCAATGTATCCCCTCACAGTTATTACCTTTTATATCCATTACCCCTCTTAGATTGTAAACTCTCATGAGCAGGGCCTCCCTAACCCTTTGGTCTAAATGGTATTGTAACTCTACCGTCTCTCTTTATATTGTAAAGTGCAGTGCAAACTGTTGGTGCTATATAAATCCTGTATAATACCAGAGAAGTAACATTG